GAAAAGCTTGTGCGGGAGAAGCTCATCGAAATTGACTTCGGCAAGATGACCGTCAAATACGATCGCATCAAATGGCACTTTAACCCACCGGGTAGCCCCCCATATGGGAGGCGCACGGGAACGTCTCGTTCGAACGACGAAAACCGTCTTGCGGAGCATATGCCCGAATTATTCCTTCAACGACGAAAGTCTGCGAAGCGCGTTAATGGAGGCAGAGTTCACTATTAATTCGCGAACACTCACTTTCGTAAGCCTCGAGTCGTCGGATGACATCGCGCTGACTCCAAATCACTTGCTAATGGGATCGGCGGAAGGCTACAAACCTCCCTGCAACGACGGAATGGATCTTAGGCAGCGTTGGCATCAAGAACAGCTTTTCGGAGAGCGTTTCTGGCAGCGTTGGGTAAAAGAGTACATACCGGTGCTCACCAAGCGAGTCAAATGGTTCCATAAATCTTCACCAATAACTGTCGGCAGCATCGTCAACGTCGTAGACGAAAATCTCGCGAGAAACATGTGGCCAAAAGGAAGAGTAATCGGCACAGTAACTGCGAAAGACGGTCAGGTGAGGCGAGTAACAATTAAGACCCAACTTGGAGTGATGGAGAGGCCGGCGACGAAGGTAGCTACATTGGATGTCGGCTTGGATGATGGTAAACAACCCTGAGGTTATTTACGGGGTGGGGAATATTGCCGTCAAATCTCCAATTTCACCAAATTCACCACCTTGAAATATTAGAACTTTTCTCTCCTAATGCAACCCTGAAAATGACTGTGAACACACACGAGAGAAGAGCAAGAGACTAATGGGCTGTTTTTGCTTACGCGTAAAAGCGCATCTCGCATTTAGCTCTAAATGCTACAAAATTCGTCATCTAAATGCAATTAAATGCAACTCAATTTTTGCATCAAGAATCTAAATGCTAAAAGCAACCCTGTGATCTTCAAAAATTTCCAGGATTCGAACATGGTTTATTGAGAAAAAATGGCAACATTGCTTTTTCGAGTATACAGTGGCTAGCTGCGTTTCAGTGATCGCCGATCCAGATTTCATTTATTGTTTTACATTATTTGGATAAAGAAAAGTTAAGAAAATTGAACATCGATGTGATGCTGATAGAAATCTGGATCAATTTGTGATTAACTCTGTTTGTTTTGTTTCCTAATTAAGTGAGGAAATTTTAATTGACAGCACCGACAAATGAATATATACACAAACAAATGTT